GCACCGGCACCGGGACTGGCACTGGCAGCGGCACCGGCACCGGCACCGGCACCGGGACTAAACACCCTGGAATCAACAACAGCAAGGTGAGTGACTCCCGCAGGGACAAAGAGGCAGGAAATACCTCTGTGCCACCTGCAGCACCCACCTATTTTCCCCAAGTTTCCCCATCTACCTGTGAGGCTCTCTGACCATCACATCTCCCTTCTCCTCAAAGGTCTCCAGTTTGTTACAAAAATTTGATGATTTCGACAGAGACTTCAAGTCAGGCTCGGATCCGGACAAGATCCAGGTAAGGACAGGACCTGGGAGAGGCACATGGAGGCATCCCATAGAGGACTGGGGAAGCTGTGGTTTGGCAAGAGACACAATGCTGCCCTGCTCTGAGTCCCCGCTTCTCCCAGGGCGGGTGGGGAAAGCAGACATGCAGGTACTTGTACTCACTGTTAGATCCTCACACACCGACTAACACCTTTCTTGCTGTTCCTGCCCATTCAGTTTAGTCACCCTTGGCATTCAGGAACAGGACTGACCTCTAAATGGCTGGATTGCAGGGGCAATCTGGTACCTCCTTTATCCCCAAATACACAGTATCTAGAATCCGTTTACTGGAGCTGAGTGGGCAAAGTCTTCCTGTAGCCCCTTCAGTGCATGGGCCAATGGCTCTGTGTCCATGCCCCCAGGACCTCATACAGGGGGTGGATGACCTGCTGGAGAACCCTGGGGACCTGGAGACCTTGTCCCACTCAGAGCAGAACTCTGTGGCCACTACCCTGCTCCACAAAATGGAACATGTCGTCTTCAAAAAGCTGAGCAAGGCCCCACCCAATGGGTCACTGACCTTTAATGCACCTGGAGGCACAGGTAAGTACCTGGGTCTGCCCCCAGGCTCAGCTCTCTCCATTCTGCACCTCATTCCTCTCCCAACATCACTGGAGCTGAGTGACCACTCATAAACAAATTAAATGGGGGGATAAGGACACATATGTAATACCTTAATCAATAAAGAAATTTAAAAATAAAAAATTAGCCGAAACCGGTTTGGCTCAGTGGATAGAGCGTTGGCCTGCGGACTGAAAGGTCCCAGGTTCGATTCCGGTCAAGGGCATGTACCTGGGTTGCGGGCACATCCCCAGTAGGGAGAAATAAATAAATAAAAATAAAAATAAAAACAAAAAATTAATGTAAAAGCTTAAAAAGAAATGAATAAATTTTAATAAGTCAGACAGACAAACAAATACTGAATGCTATCACTTATATGTAGAATCTAAAAAACAAACTCATAGATACAGAGAAGAGATTGGTAGTTGCCAAAGGCAGGGGGTGAAGGGTGGTTGAAATGGGTGAAGGGAGTCAAAAGGTACAAACTTCTCCTTATAATATAAATAAGTCATGGGGACATACACTGAGTGGCCAGATTATTATGACCATCCCATTAGTACAAAGTAGTGAATTAGTTATGCAAATAATAATAATAATAAAACCTTGAGAGTATTTGCTTAGGAAGTTTTCAATATTCAGTATTTTTGGAAGTGTCAATGAAGTACTGATGGGGTGGTCATAATAATCTGGCCGGTCATAATAAGAACCATACTGGCTCTTTCTTTTTAGTGTAAACATAAATTTTATTCATTTATTTATTACTTTTTTAACTTTTCAATTACAGTGGACATTTAATATTTTTATTAGTTTAGGTGTACAGCATAGCAGTTAGATACATATAATTTATGAAGTGATCCCCTAAGAAGTCTAGTACACACCGGGAACCATATATAATTATAAAATACTAGAGGCCCGGTGCACAAAAATTTGTGCA